ATATAATATTTTAGTAAAGTCAACATACCCATATAATGACTGTAGCTAAGATGAGGATGTTGAGTTGGATAAGTGACAAGACAAGGGATATAATTCGAAATGACTACATGCAAGAGAATTTAAGGTGTGGCACCAATAGACGATAAGATGAGAGAAAGTAGACTTAGGTGGGTTGACCATGTATTGCACAGACCCAATACAACAACTGTTAGGAGGTGCAAGTTAGTTCAAGTGGAAGGCTCAAAAAGGACAAGGCATAGGCCCAAATGGACATGGTTGGAAGTAGTGAGAAAAGATGTGGGGACTTATGGCCTTACTGAGGGAATAGTCCTTAATAGAGCAGAATTGTAGACCATGATTCATGTAGCTGACCCTAATTAGTTGGGAAAAGGCTCTGACGATGATGATGTTATCAATCGTCTTCTAAAATATAAATATTTGAGCAAATTAAACAAACTTTAAACAATAAAACAATATTTTGATAAAAATATTACTTATTAAAATAATATTGAAAGGCATTTTATGAAATGCCTCATTATGATGAATACAATATAAGAAGGGTAGTTTACGTGTCCTTCCTAGGTCTATAAGAAAAACATCCTTCATGGAGCCTTTGTATAGAGGCCTAAAGGTGAAGGGCGAGAAGTCAAAGGTGAATTCTGATATGTACACCATAACACCACGCAGAGGGTGGTTTTCGAAATCTTGTCTTTTTAATTTAGTGCCCTTAATAAGTAAACAGGCTTCCAAGTCGAACTTTAACATAAAAATGTAGTTTACAACTGCTACTCAGACGCTTATACGCTTTTCTTTTCCAATAAAAGCAACATTGAATCAAATAAGGCAAACATGTACTTGTTGTGTAAAAGAGCTAATCAATTGGTTAAAGGAGGTTACAAAATGCCAATATAAGTTTGTGGGACAGAATAAAATTATTGTTACTACAACTAAGAGACTCTTTAGGACAAGGGCCTCCACATGTTGACATTTCCACTTGCAGTGTCTTCTCTAGCCATGGCACTGGAACAGCATTGGCCTGCCTCCAAGTGTGCCTGAAGTTGATGTGTAGACCTTGACAGAAATGGGAAACCTTGTTGAAGGTGGATTCCAATCTCCAAGGGCAAGCAGATCAATTCTTGACCCAATTTACGACATCTTGGAAGTCTTCATCCACTAAAAGTGAAGAGTAACAAATCAAATATTGAAAATAACAATTGGACACTTGGCTTCCTAGGCAGTCCAGGGACCAGCCGAACCACAAGGGTGTAGCCCTAGGCCTTGCAGGCACCTTGGCGTAAACATAAAAATAAAAAAGAATAAAAATTAAATTAAAAAAAAAAAAGAGAGAGAGGGAGATGATGGAGATGTGGATGGCCATTGATGAAAATATGTTTCTAAAAAAATAAAGCAAATTGAGGGGTTTCAATAATTGACAGCAGTATGGCTTGATAGGAAACGTGTCAGAGTGTGAGTGAGAGTCAAGAGGGAGAAAATTTCTAATGAGGGAGAAAAGAGAGAGAGATTGGGTAAAAATTAAGATGGCATGAATCAAGAGAGAGTTTTCTTTTGAAACTGTTACTTCTGAATCAAGAGAGAGAGTTGAAATTGAGAAGACCACACAGAGTTAATAGAGTGAAAGAAGACGGAGAGAGATTGGCACAACAAAAGATGGAGAGAGAGAAGAGTGAGATCAGGCATGACTGAAGATGGAGAGAGTTGGAGAGTAGAGAAAGAGATTGTACACAACTTAAGAAGAAGCTGTGGGCTGATGATCAACCATTTGCAAGGGGCGTTTGGGTGCCTCCGGTTGACTATTGTGATCTTGGGAAGGGGAAGGACAGCAGAATACATCCAAGGTAGTGGGATAAGTATGGGTCACCTGGTTCAATTATCACTAATAAAGATAGGGGAGTGCTTCTGAATGAAACTTCATCTATCCAATGAATAGGAAAGATGAGTATGGGTTTCAATCAGGCATCCAGTAGGTTGCAAAAATTGAGGTGCAAGGGTGGCGTGGCTGAATCTATGCCAAAAGAATGAGGTGTGGGCTGTAGTAAGGTTTCAGTAGAGTTGACAAGTTAATTAAGTAAATGAGGTGTGGGCTGTAGTTAGGTTTCAGTAGAGTTGACAAGTTAATTAAGTAATGACATGCACATGGAAATAAAATTATCTTGTCAGCTCTATTTCTTACATCAAAAAAATTAGAGACAGCAAGATAATTGAGTAATGACATGCAAATTGAAATTTAGTTGAAACTCACCCATAAGGAGAATAAATAAACCCTTGTTGACAGGCGAACAAAATTAAACATAACATATTGTGAACATTAAAGGTGTCAAAGTTCGGCCTCTATTACAGGGTTTGGCAGCAAAGCCCTGTTAACAGGCTAACAAAATTAAACATAACATCATTGTGAACATTAAAGGTGTCAATGTTAGGCCTCTATTACAGGGTTTGGCAATAAGAGCAAACACAGATCACAATCATAGTTCCAAAAAGCGGTCCGCCTAACGACTAAGCAGGCTAGGGGGACCTGGGCACATCGCCTAGGCCTAGTCAGCCCTTTTAGGCAATGGGTCCCTAGGTGCTCGCCCAGGGGGTGAAAATGCCGCTAGTGGAGGGGATCAGAGTCCTTTTTCCCCTTAAATAAGGGAGGAAAAGAGAGAGAGAGAGAGAGAGGGAGAGAGAGGGGGGGGTTAGGTTTTATTGTGACCTTAAGCCATTTTTTTTACCTTTTAGAGTGGAAAAAACTAAAAAAAGCCGCCTTATTGGATTTCTATAAGATTGATCAGGTAATTCAAAGTTTTGAAAAATCAATCCAGATATCATTCTTTTGGTTTGGATTTGATTTGTTAGAAGCTCATTAGAGGGTTTTTAGGAATCTTTTGAGATTGAAAAACATATAAAAGGTGGAAGATTGAAGGTCGAGCGATCCAGGTTAGTGAAAAAACTCCGTATTTGAGATAGCTTTTGTTATTTCGAAATGTCTTCCTTAGGTTCTACTAGTAGTGGTGACCCAGGTTTGGAAATAAGGTTATAACCCGAATCCTCTAGATAAAAATTGTATAAGATATAATCATTATGAAAGAGATATCAATAGGGGTATAAACCAGTTAAAGAACATCATGCCGATATAAATTGGGATGTTTCCCCTAGTAAAAAGGTTCCTGAAGCAATTAGGGATGAGATTAGAGATTATATGAATTTAGTAAAAAGGAAAAAAAAAAAGGAGGCATGCACAGCAGAGTTAAGGGTTGGGATTCGTGTTTTTCATGATGATGAGAGTGATGAGGTGGAGCACTTTGCTTTGTCCCAACCTAGGAAAGGAAAGGGAATTGTAATTGGATTTAAAAGATCTCAGCTTAAGGGGCCTATGGATACTTTTTTTTACCTGGACTTACCCTGTTTGCAATTGAGAAAACCAAGAAGCAAACAACCATCGAGAATAGAATTAAGGAGGGCAGAGAGAAGTGCTTTGTATATCGCTCAGTGGTTTTATGAGGCACAGTCAATGCCACCCGCCTAAGCAGCTTCTACATCATGGTGGAGGCAATTGGCCAATTTGGGCCTAGGATTGAAATCCCCAACCCCATATAAGCTATCAGAGCCTCTTTCAAAAAAAGACTGCAAATCGCAAGGGAGATTGTGGACTCGTCGAAGGATGCATGGATTCAATATGGGTGTCTATTATGACTGAAATTTGGAGTTACAAGAAGATAAAAGGTCAGGTGAAATTGTCCTTTAGGGACTTTTTTTTAGGTCGATTGATGCCCAATGTTTCAA